TAAGCAGCAACGTCACCAGGAGTTATTCATCAGTCTCCCCTAGGGAGCTGTTCTTCCTTTTCAGCTCTCCTGGATGAATGGGGAGCTCGTGCAGACTCAGAAGCACAGATGTCATGTGTGCCCCTGGGGAAACACCACTGAGTCAACGGGCAGCTGAATTCTGTGTCTGCTGGAGTTTGGCGTGGTCTTTGGCAATAGTTGTATGTAGAGTGTATCTCAGTGCTCCGTTCCAGAGGTGAGAACGGCTTGGAAAGCCATGGTGAGATCCATGACCGAAAGACAGGGCCACAGCCCAGCAGCGGAAATAAGGAGACACATTTCATAGCGATCATCTGGGGCTGTCAAAGTGTAATTCACTTTTGAAGAAGGCTTCTAACTTTTTTGTTTCAAAATGCCCTGGTTTAACATCCTGCTGCTGGCTGGGACTGGACATACATGAAATCGTACAAAAGGCAGGTGGCTACGTGTTGTAGAAGTTGGAGTTTCTGTGACACTTTCACCTGCAGCCCCAGATAGAGGAAGCTACAATAGTCTAATCTGGTGATGGTGGTAGCAAGTATCACAGTGGGAGAGGAATGAAGAGTCTCCTTGCCAGCCATAGGTGGACTAAAGCAACAGTAGGCAAGCAATGCAATCTGTGTGACCAGGAGCAAGGAAGATCCAGGAGGAACTCTATTCTGCATAAACAACAAGGAGTCTGGTGGCACCTTAAAGACTAACAGATAAGGTGCCACCAGACTCCTTGTTGTTTTTGTAGATACAGACTAACACGGCTACCCCCTGATACTATTCTGCATATTATCTTTCTGGTTGGACATGGTGCTTACATCACGAAACCAACACCTGTTTAAATGTGTAGCACTATCCGCCTTATTCCATCCTTGCACATAAATGGAATGTCCAGCCAGAGCAGATAAATCTATCAACTGGATATTTCGGCAAAAATTAATAGTATTGGAATACCCAGATTGATATTCAAATGGTCATTATTAGGCATTGGAGTTAATACCATCTTGGGATGAATAGCATAGTCCATGGGCAACAAATGTTAATTTAGTCACCAAAAAGGCAGTTTCAGACAACAAAAATCTATTTTTGAATTTGTGTTGAGTTTATCAAATAATGTTGATACAAAATGAATGTTTCAGGAAATGTTGAAACAAAATGTTTTATTTTGACCCAACTTGAAATTTTTCATCTTGATTTTAAGGCATTTTAACAAAAGCAAAGCAGGACAAGCCTCACAAAATGGCTGGGTGGGGGAGCAGAAGGCGGAAGCCTCCTTTTTAACCATTGGCCCTGTGGTGACAGCGCTCAGCTACACTGTGGGAAACCCAGTTCAATTCTCCCTTAACCCCAAAGCATTTTTAAATAGGTCTTCACAAAAAAGGTAGAGTTTCCAAAAGGGAATTACACCTAATTTTGGACACTTCTCAGAGATCATATTGAAGTGCTTTGTCCAGTAACCTCAAGCTTTCCTCCAAAATTCTCCCCTGCTACAGACCAAACATGCCATACTTCCCATATCAGAGAGAGGGGCTGCTATTTTCCAGAATGGTTCAACAGAGTTGATATTGAGACTAGAATCAGCTAAACTCTCCCTACAGAATCACTGTAGTGCCAGTGATGAGCGATGATGATCCCTGGCAGCTGCTGGGGCTCGCAGAGCTGGCTGGTCATGTGGTGCTGGCATGAGCTACGTTAAAAGAAGCTAAAATATGTGTACTTTCCTAATATCACTTTGCATTGTAAGCAATTGCTGTAGTTGCCATAGCAGTGCTGTGTGGTCACAAATGAGAGAGGAGGTGGTCCATGCCATTGTGGAGGGAAGAGATTAGTGCACATGGTATGATCCATGCTAGAAAAAATTTCCGAACCCTGAACTACGATGTCACCATAATAAATACATATTTGTACAAAAGAAAAACTCCCCAGATAATGGTATCACGTTCCCATGTTGTTTGTAAAATTGTACCCCTAGTATGGATAACAGAAGGTGAACTGACCTGTCCCGTTCGTACTTGTATGCAGCGTCCACCAGCTCCTTGGCTTCATTCGTGCTGCTCAGAAAGAATGGATCTGGCAGCGTCTCCAAGATATCTAGTCCAAAGAGAGGAAAGAGCAGGACATGAGGACAACTCCTTCCCACCAGCTCACTGCACAGACCCAAAGTGAAAGGAGCACATGTCTTCTCCTTCGTGCTGTGAACTTGCTGGATTAACCTTTAGGCACTTAAAGCCAAGACTGAGTGTTGATTGAGCAAGTTGTTCATATATAATTGAACCTTTTTCATGCTGTGGATCTAAGAGCTAAAGAAGGGGAGACATGAAGCAAAGTTAAACTTAGGGATAACTGGGTGAAATTGAATGGCCTGTTCATATAGGTGAGAGGTTTCAGAGTGGTTGCCGTGTTAGTCTGTATCAGCAAAAACAACAAGGAGTCCTCGTGGCATCTTAGAGACTAACAAATGTATTTGGGCATAAGCTTTTGTGGGCTAGAATCCACTTCATCAGATGCATAGCGTGGAAAATACAGTAGCAGGTATATACACATATTACGTGAAAAGATGGGAGTTGCCTTATCAAGTGGGGGGTCAGTCTAACGAGACAATTCAATGAACAGTAGAATACCAAGGGAGGAAAAATCACTTTTGTAGTGGTATGAGGGTGGCCCATTTCAAACAGTTGACAAGAAGGTGTGAGTAACAGTAGGAGGAAATTAGTATGGTAAAGTGGCAATTTAAGTCTGTCACTCAATAACAGACTTAAAAGTGGCAATTCTTCAACAAAAAAACTTCAAAAACAGACTCCAACGTGAAACTGCAGAACTGGAATTAAATTGCAAACTGGACACAATCAAATTAGTCCTGAATAAAGACTGGGAGTGGATGGTTCATTACAAAAACTAATTTTACCATACTAACTTCCCCCCTACTGTTATTCACACCTTCTTGGCAACTGTTTGAAATGAGCCACCCTCATTACCACTACAAAAGTGATTTGTCCTCCCTTGGTATGTGTTAGTCTCTAAGGTGCCACAAGGACTCCTCGTTATTTTTGCATATAGGTGAGATCACACTAAATGATCTAATGGTCCCTTCTGGCCTTCTCCTCTATGAATCATAGAGCTCTTGGTTCTCCAGTTCCTCAAGGGGACCAGGATGTATTCCAGGAAGGAACTTAATAGGTAGAAATTTTTGGATAGCCAGACATTCTTCAGCTCTCAGCTGAAGCTGACCGTGTCTGCATCTGCTTTCTCAATTCTCTCTGTTCCCCCAACAAGACCTATGGCCAGTGGCCTGATCACTTTCCTCTCCTCCAAGTGCTTCAAAATGGATTCCTTGAGAACCTGCTCCATGATTTTGCCAGGGACAAAGGTGAGACTGTAGCTCCGCGGATTCTTCTTCTTCCCTTTTTTAAAG